GCTCTCTTTCTTCTTCCCTCGCTGCGAGCCGAGGCGCTGCAGACCCCGCTGGCTTGGTTGCCGCAGCCCCCACTGGAGCCTTGCCTTCTAAGGGGCGGCTCAGAGGCCCTACTGGAGCCCGCGTTTCCCGGCCTTTGTCTTTGCGGTTTGGCGGGTTGGCCCCGCTGTGCGCTCGGGGCTGGAGGCGCTGCGCTGGGCTGGCTGTGCTTCAGGGGGATGGCGGGGGGGGGTGGGGAACGGGAAAGTGTGACCCCTTCTTTCCTGTTCCGGCCATCTTGCGACTGAGAGTCAGCCGACGGGCAAGGGTGGCCAGCAGCGCAGCGCTGGCGACCGGAGTGGTGGCGGCGAAAGGAGATGGGCATCTTGGGCCCCGCAAGCCTGTTCCCCCGAATGCAGTGGGGGCGCGCGGATAGCCGCCCCGCTTCAGGTCCAAAGGATTGGACCCATAGCCTGGGTGAACTCCGCTAACAGGCCAGAGGCACATAAAATATAAAGAACAAGGGCTGGGAGCCGACATTTACTTAACTAAGCGCCTAATTCATTCGATGATTCTTTATCCACGTGTTCTTTAGACAAATTTCTAACTCCTCTCTCTGCCTGACCCGTGCTAGGTGCCGGGGATATAACCGTGAGCAAGAGAAACCACGGCTCTTGTTCCCGCTGATCCTGCAGCCCAGTGGATGGAGTCCACAGTACATAGACCTGCCAGGTCGGTATCCAGATACCCTTTAAACAAACAGGGAAACTGAGGCCTAAAGCTGACGTGAGTTGTTCTAGGTCAGGCAAAAAGTAAATGGACGAATCAGACTTTGAAGCTTGAAGCTGTAAGTCTTTCATGCCGGCTTCAGTGACTTGTAATAGCTCTTTTCCAAAATCCCATTCCAAATTATTTGTATGTGTGGTTTCTGTGAAGACTTACGAAGCATATGTTTAATTTTCGGATGCTTTCATATAGGCTTATTTCTAGTTCTCTAAAGGCTAGAAATAATTGATATTACAACTTTGCTTCCAGTTACTCTGAATTGTATTTTCCTTTCTTTTGATCTTTGGCTGTTAGGAAAGACAAAATTTTTCCTGATGATTGGTCCAAGCAAGGACTCCCCGGTGGACTGAGGAATGTCTGGCTTTTCCTCGGTTCATCCATCTCTGTGGTAGCTACAAGCAGCCCCCAGAAGACCTCAAGAATGAGAGGCCTGAGGTCTACAAGTTGCTGCTAGGAATATTTTGGCGTCTCCAGAAAACAGAATGCAGCTGCCACACAAATTTATAAGGTAAATATGGGGCCACTGTAAAACTTGATGGTAAAGCTGATGTAGGGGGAACTTGATTGTTTTTATCTTCTCATTTTGAGAATGTATCCTTTTGGAAAGACACAAAGTTTTTTATATTTGGGCAAGTTCTTTGGTTTGTACTTCTGTCAGAATATTATATTTAGGCGGCCAACCCATAGAAGACAAAAGACCATTTAAAAAAGTATCTTGGATGTAAGAAATTTAGGAAACCTGCCATCAAATATAATTAACTACACTATAAATTTAATTTTTAAAACAACTTAATATATTGAGGTATAATATGACCGTTAATTTTCAGTGTACCATTCAGTGAATTTTTACAAATGTATATGCCCGGGGAAATCAACAGCACAATCAAAATGGAGAACATTTTTTTAAAATTATACCCCGGAAGTGTCTTCCTGCCCTTTTACAGCCAGTTCCCCCTTCATCCCATTTAATTTTGCATAGATTTGTTGCTTAACGTATTCTGAGTTGTGTGTGAAAGATGAGAATGAATAGATATTTCTAATCTCAAAACCTAAGGCGAGGATCAGAGGCGAGCAGCTAGGATGTGGCTCCCCACGCCTTAGGGACATGGAATATCCGGCCCAAAGGCCGGGGTTGGGGGGGCTGGTGCTGTCCCGGGAAGCCGGCTCTCAGGACAGGTGGACGGGTGTGTCCACTCGGGCTCTCCCACGAGGTCTTCTCTGGTCCCGCAGGGCCCTGGGCGCACGCTGACTGGGCGCTGGCGGGCGCGCCCTTTGCTCCGGGTTCCTGCCCCGGGCGCTGCCATAGCAACGGCCTGGACGCCCAGACTTTAGGCCGCCGCCTCCCGGGACCCGGTCTTCTCCCGCTTCCAGAGGAGTGGGGCGGCGGCGGCCTGGGAGGCGGCCCGGGCCGGGTAGACGGGCCCGTCCCCTCCTCCGATGCCAGCTGAGGCGGCGGACTTGCTTCCAAGCATGGTAAGAGGCCGGAGGCCGGGGGATTCGTGGGCTGGGGAGTGGGCAGGGGGCTCCACGGGATCTCGAGCTCCCCCTTTAACTCTGG